CTTAAAATAGACGTTTCGGCTAAAATACTATAACCTTCTTCAGTGATGAAATGAATGTTAATGGCGTCTAAATGTAAATGAGATGTTTATAAGAATGTGGGGAACATCTCATTTACATTTAGACGCCATTAACATTCATTTCATCACTGAAGAAAGTTATAATATTTTAGCCGAAACGTCTATTTTAAGATTTTTAAGTCAGTGACAACAACTTTTAAGATTTTATTACTACGCCTGACTACAACTACAGTATTTTCATAATTAATACCTGTTCGTTTTCATTGTCCATCATTAGCATACATTTGTCCATTAATAGTGGCTCTTTGGGACATTTCTTTTCTTTTATGTCCTTTCGGCAGTTACCTCCTGGCTCACATGCGAAACATTTGATACCTGATAACTCTGTAAATTCAATAACAGTGGGTTTTATAGGTTATGTAACCTCACCGGATGGTAAAGGGATAAGGGAGTTGCATAGAGTAGACTACATTGGATGGAACTGAAATCGCACAGTGCCGAAGTCGCGAGTCCTAACGCAAACGACGTCCAGTCACTGATGTCCCACTAGCCTCTGTGCGCGGGCTCAGAATAATTAGTGATATTAAAACTGAATTAGATTAAATGCGCTCAGAAATTTCCTCAGAGACTTTGGCTCAAACATGGAGCCACTCAAAATTTAATTGCATATTTTTTTGGGCACGATGTAAACATACAGAGCAGTAAAACTACGTGCTTACCACAACAGTTTGATATAGGGTATTTTTTCCTGACTGAGTTATATTTCGACACTGATAGCTTACAATTTAAAATCATACTTTTGTCGGGATTAAAAATCTAAACTTTGTTAAGTTTGTTAGGTAGAACTTGTTTCGGTCAAATAAACGTCATCTCGTGTCTAAGAACAGGCTGAACTGATCCATGATACTTGTATCATTTACGGTTTAAGATTTAATTTAAAGCTTACATGTTCAGTCAATGATTTTCATGTAAAATAGTAAAAAAATGCGCAAATTTGTGCAAGCTTGTGCACATCGTGACAGTGCTCAAGAAACGGAGAAAAGATGAGCTAGAACTGGAAATACTTATACCTTTAGCAAATATCAGCACTATACATAAGGATGCAAGAATGCGTGGCATACTTGTCTGTGAAATCCCCGTTCTCACAACACAGTCAAATGAAACCAGATGTGTTAAATATGTTCCTCTGACGGTCTCGACAAGTTGTTTACAATGAAAATTCTAGAAGAGATTTCCACTTCCAACAGGTGCATCGACTGAACGAAACTCTGGACAAGAACCTCGATAGGGGGTCGTTAAAAATCGTTTTCGTTCTTTATTTCACAGCTGCCGTCCTCCAATGCGCTGCTGTTAAAACAATCCTATGGCAAGTGAGAAACGTTAATGACCAATAATAACACTTACACCAGGCCCGGCATATGTTGACAAGAATGTGGATACTGAAATCTAGAATTTTTCGTTTGTTTCTAAATTAAAAGCTAAAATTGTCAACTTTCCTTAGCGATTTAAATACCTTTGTTTTAAAATAAGTTGTAAGAATTCGTTGATACTTGAAGCCGATGAAATAATAACGTAAGGAAGGAGATCGGTCAGGGCTTAAGAAGTTTCCTCACGTTTTTATCGAGCAGGAGAGTTGTCAATTTTTAAAACTGGAATTGATGGTACGGAATCTTTAGGGAAAAAATTGATGGGATATGGATACTCAGACCCCCTGATGGGACCTCCTGGATTTTCATGAGGTAACAGGGGAATCTGTAAAATATTCTAAATGGAACTAAGTCATTGTTTGAGCATCTTGAAAAACTTGGCCTAACGTTTTCAAGTTCGTCGTTAGTAATCCTTGTTATCTTCTCCACCCTTAACCATCCTTGTTCCCTTATGGATTAATATTATCATCATCATCATCATCATCATCAGCAGCAGCAGCAGCAGCATCATCATCATCATCATCATCATCATCTCTTTGGTGTTTTTCTATCTTAGTAAACTAATATTTTCAGGTTGCCTTCTATTCAAGGGTAATTCAGCCGACCTGCCCAAAATAACTCAAAATACCTTGACTCAGCTTGAAACGTTTTGGGGTCTACGATAATTAGACGAAACGCGTCGGCGAACAAAACAAGTCAGTTACAACTTCCTAGTCTAGTGATTTAGAAAATTGTTAAAAAATTGTTTAAAAAAACTATTACTCCAGGTAAGAGAGTCAAAATGTACACACGTTTCTCATTACATTTTTAATACAACCAAAGTTTTATTCCAGCCGTTAGATTACATTAACTTACAACCTACGTCGGTATGAAGTCCTCACTGTTTTGGCGTGAACGATTTTCTTAAAAGACTAATTTTAAAATTCAAATTATTACATGTAAAAAAGTAAACGACAGTGTATAAATACACAGGTGTTTCTATGGCCGAGCAAAATTAATATTTCTTTTTTTATGAAACGGTTATTTTTTTTAGCTTTAAGTTGATAAAGATAAATTTACTGCCGTTTCGAGTTTCACAAACTTGCTATGGCGGCTGGTTTTGCGGCAGAGCGCGAAACGCGATACACGAACGCGAAGCGCGAGTCGAAAAAAAAAATCGGCTGCAGTTCATTTACCTTTACCAACTTCAAATTAATTTTTCTATTTTAGATATTGTCGATTAATGGTAATCAGAGTTTCGATAATCAGACGGTCTCTGTTGTGGGTTGATTACAGCTGTGCTGTCAGTTTAATGCTTTGAAGTTAAACGTTATAATATAACCTTTTGTTAGTTCGGATCGATTCTTAGGATATTAATTTATTCTCGGAGTCAGGATTTCGAGTTGGAGTGATTTCAAGTCGGGATCTCGAGTCAGGATTCCCAAACGAAAAACCGGTCAGCTATATCAGTGTGATTTTTTTGCATACAGTTAGCTTGCTTTGGCAATGCTATATACATTTACCACTGAATAGTTTTAAAATTGCATGAATATCATGGAAGCATGGCTACACATTTCAACTCCCTCACATAAACAAAATAAAAAATAAAATAGACCTTCCTCGAAATCCTAACTCGGGACCTGACTCGAAATCCTGCCGTGATTAGTATACCTCTTAATTTTACCTTTTCGTAATGTATACTATACTTAGATTATAGACACATTTTTTTGTCTGATGACTTAGGAACAGTGCTGTAAAAGGCATCTGTGAACGTGTAAGTTAAACACCTCATATCCAAATTTAGTCTCTACACCCAGTCAACATCGTATAGAATGTCTAGTGTTATGCTAACTGATATTTTCTGCTTCCACCTTGAAATACTTTTGTTACAAATTCCCTGGCACCAGGAGACGAATTCCAAAGATAATAGCAACGAGCAGACAAATCCGTGCCCATGCGCTGTTTCCGATACCGCTGGCGCTGACTCCACTGTTGCACTGATCTTTCTCGCAGCAAGTAGCTTTGCAATCACCGCTGTTTGAGCAGGCTCTCGTTTTTATACCACAGCCTTCTTCATTCGTACAGCCTTGATCCAACTCGTCTTCCGCTTCAATTTTCGTGACTTTTGTGTGATAGCATCGATCATTTGTCGGAGTACACTCCAGAAGTTTTAATTTGTCACCGCCAGATTGACATTTCGAAACAGGGCCTACACAGTGGTAACACTCTAGAGACCACACTGAAAGGGAGAAAAAAAAGATAAAATCTTAGTGTTAAGAGAATGATAGACTCTATGTGGTGACGTCTGGGCATTTTATGGAAGTCCTTACTGACTCGTGTGGGGGCGGAAAATGCGGGGATGTAATTGTTAGCGCCCCGAATTCGCGGGTTTTGAGCCCTGGCCGGGGGCACTGCACTGTATTCTTGAGCGAGACACTTGGCTCTCACAGTGGCTCTCTCTAATGGTGTATAATTGGGTATCGGTGATTGTAATGCAGGGGCACAACTCTGCTATTGACTAGCATCCTATCCAGGGGGAGTAGAAATACTCCTAGTCGCTTCATGCCACGGAAACCGGGGTAAGCTCCGACTGTATGGACCACTTGACGCAATGCAAACTTGACCATTGTTCGTGCACTAAACAAGCAGGCATTATGTATGATTACGTAAGAAGCTAAATAATAATAAAAATAATGATAAAAAATAATAACTTTGGCACTGTTGTGCTAATTGAGGACACTGTAACTAAACAAACAAATATTGCAAAGAGAACGCAAATTATTAAGAATCCCAACTGGTGGGAGGCTGACCAGTTGGTTATTTACACACCGCGGTCGAGGAGTTGAACTCGGGACTACCGAGAACAAATCCAGATAGCGGTAGGGTGGAGGATTTGAAGCAGGGACCTCCAGATTTCAAATCCAGTGCCCTAAACCACTCGGCCACGCTGCCTCCCATGTTTATGGGAGTTATGCTCCAATTCTACTTGAGGTGAAATTCTTCTCAAACTTCTGCCATCTTCACACAGTTTTTATGTGGGTATTCCTTTCATCGTCGCACTACTTTGGGAAATTGCTCACGATCACGCTTACACTTGGACACAAAATTAGCTATTCTGCATAAGTCTATTCAACACAAATTCACCACCCACGCCGGAACGAACATCAACTGCCCAGTCGATCCCCTGAATATCCTGATACGACGCAGTCGAAAAGAGGTTCTGGATAGGAGTGTTTTAATTCAGTTTTTAATTTAAAGTTTTGGCGAATTTTTCGCTATTAGATGAAGTTTCAGCCCTTCAGTCTCAACCATTAGTCAAAAAAGAAAAAGAAATAAGTATATAAATAAATAAATAAATAAATAAATAAATAAATAAATAAATTAATTAATTAATAAATAAAAGCCCCGCATCATTTCTCAGCTGAAATTTGTAAGTTTTACTAATTCTCAACTGATCAATATGAATTAAGAATTAGCCAAACTAAATTGATTAAATTAATGAGTTAAACCTCTGCCCTCCAGACTGTTTTGACCAAAATAACAAGTGGCTGTAGCATGTTACTAGACTCTAACTCCACCGGTTCGAGTCCTACCCAGAGTAATTCTCCTTAACTTGCGCGAAATTCATGATTAATACTCATAGATTTTACGATAGGGAAAAAGAAATAAATTGCCAAAATTTCAGCATTGCAGTTTTCTTTAACTTCAACTGAAAACACTGAAAGTATGCTCCGCCATTTTCGGTTGAACTACGTCCTTTGTCTACTTTACCACGCTTTGATTGACAATTTTACATCACTTTATGAACGCCAAAGCTTATGTATAGACTACATAGTAAAAGGAGCTTTGTAGTATCAATATTCCGGAATTCTGATGCCAAATGAATACGCTCTATATCGGAGGTTGTCATAAGATGTGATGACTGCATGTAACGGTATCCATTTTCCCCCGATTCGCGCGAAGCTGGCAAAATCCTCCCCTCAACCCCTCTTGAAATTTTCACGATCGTTCCAGCTCTTTTCAGGGACACCTTACTCACCCAAAACGGAGTATTTCTGCAGTTCAGTTCATCTAAATAAATGCTTTGCGTCAGTAAGTCACCCAGGTGGTAATTATTCTGCACTTTTAATTTTTCGGAAAGATGAAACGTGACGGTAAAGTGACGTACGGCCAAGAGTAGAATAAAAAAAAGTCAGACTTTGACCATGCGGCAATTAGATTAACACGGATCATTGATGCTAACTTTTCAGGATACATGTAGTTTTTTTAAGAACACGTATTTTTAAATATCTTAAAAAACGTATAACGTGGGAACTGACACGAAATAAAGTTTAAAAAAGTCTCGAGCCTTTCTGTTACGGAAGTGGCTTGAGCGAGATAACATATTTGGCTATCGATCATGTGTTAATATTATGTAGGTTACAAAGTAACCAACGCTGCTGTTTGTTAGTAGAAGAAGAATTTAAGCAATTTGAATTGAGGCAAAGCGTTCTGCAACTTTAGTGATTCTGAGAGTTTTTCTAAGCTTTGTAGCTGTTGAGGTATATTCTAACGAAGGGCTAAATAAAAGTGCCAGCTGCCAGGTTGCCGGTAAAAACTTGGCCCTTTGTCAGTTGTCAGGTTTCAGACACGATTTGTTTAAAATTGTAGGTACTTAGAGCGAGCGTATGTCATGTTGAGTCACAGCTGGAATGTTCGAAAGTCGACATCTGAAAGAATTCAACAAGCGAACATAGCTATTAAAATTTTATACTCGCTATGGCGATGTTTGAGGACATTTCAAACAACTTTTTCAAAGATATTTCCAAAATTGCAGCATCATGCGAGCAGTGTATTGCTTCACGGATGCAATGAAGTGTCATCGCCTGACAGGTGAGATCAATCGCCCTTCTTAAAAGTGCAAAATATACCACTGAATTAATTACCCTAGCAACCGTTCATATTTAAAACGATTCGCACATTTTTACACTTATAAATGTATAATCATAGCTTAAAGGTTTTCTTCAAGTTTTGAAAACATCCGCTTGAATATTGTTTTTAAAATGCAAAATATTTACGGCGAACGAACATGGATGTTTTAATCTTAATGCGCACCGCGATCGCGTGACTTTGGCCCGACACTACGAACCTATGCACTCGTAACAAAACATTCAACTACTCACGCTAGAAAAACGGACTACACGGCAAATTATACTCTCCAGTCACTTTTCGTCGCCACTCTAATGCACAAATGTAAATGCAGCATTTAAAATTAATAATGACAATTGCTTTTAGGTTTTGTTGGTTTCTCAAGGCTGGTTTTCACCAGCGCAAAGGTTAACTAAATTAAAGCAGATTAGTTAAGCATCATTCGCAGGCGCACAAATGTTGGTAGGAAGTTTTCCCACCATAACGCGTAAATTAACCAGAGAGGCGCTACTTCTGCATCTTAATGTGTTTGCGCAAATAAAACCAACTTCTAGTGGTGTGGACGCCCTCCTGTCCATTTTTGACAGATTCTGAGAGCGCTTCAAAGTTATGAAAGGTCTTCCTTTTCTGCAGAAAATAAAGGCTGGACTGACTCATCTAACCCTTAGGCAAAAGTTTCTTTTGACTTTATAGGGACCTGTTCTTGGTGCAGTGTAACGGGGCAATCATTTGATTTTGGTCTTTCATTGATCTTTGTCTAGCCCGAAAGAGCAAGATCAAATGCAAAACGAAGTGTGCTAGCGATAAACGGCGGCGTTTTTTAAAAACACCGGTATTTAATACATGTGTACAAACAAAACAGAAATTTGAATAAGCAGCGTATGTTGTGTCTGTGCTCGGTTGAATCCGTATATTCACCGACTGAGGGAATAAAGAAATATATGAAGTTAATATGTCTGAACTCAGAACCGCGATTTACAGCCAAGACTACAAGACTGACATGGTTTGAAACAACTAAACACACACAAGCGAGACATGAAAACAATAAAAATAAATCAGCTGTACTACAAGATCGTAATTTCTGACAATTTGATCAACTACAATATTACGGTACACGATACTACGCTGATTCTGGAAGAAACTCTGAAAGAAAATTCGGTCATTTCGTAGACGTACTCACCAAATTCCGGTATAATAACTAGACACCAAAGGACAAAAAAGCGCTTCATATTTTGAGGCACCTATGTCGTCCGCTCCTGTCGCCGTTGTGGTAAGCGGTGGCAAATAATTTGCATATCTATGCAAAATACGGCAAGCGCCTTTACCCAGGGAAGGGTGGCAAGGGAAAACAGTCACAGCCCTCTGTTTCGGGTGTTATTCCTCGATTGATGAAGGCGTAAAAAGAATCAGAAGAGAACTGAGCTCTCTGCTTTTCTCGCGTTCTTCAATGCCGAGGCTAAAAACAGCAGCTAACAGCCCATGGGAACGGACATTGAGTTAAACTCTGTGCCATTAATCTCGACTCTTCGTTAGTAAACACTTTGTTAAGGCTTGCCGAATACCGGTATTAGCTTGTTTTTATTGTAGTAAAACAATTCCCAGAAAAATAGTGGAAGTCGTGAATTTACTGAGACACGATTCTAGGTTGTGACCATTTAATCTTCTTAGTTGACGTCACCTTATTATATATTGGTTTTCGTAATTTCTGTTATACTAAATAACAAAATTTTCAGTCACGAAGTCGAATTGATGCCACGAAAATTAGTTAATTTTTTCCGGACACTTTTGGGTTAACAGTTGATAGCCACCTCCGGTTCGTCCATTGGAAGAAAGCTCACAGGTTCCCTCGCATTCCTCTTTTGCATTAAGAAAAATAAAATTAAGTAAAAACAATTACTGAGCCATGGCAAGTGCAAATGAGTTCAACGCTTTGTTATCGCTTGCCGAGTACCGGTATCAAGCATGTTGATCTTTAAGGATAACAATTTAAAAATAGTTTAAGTTGACTGGTATTTACTGGACAGAATTCTATGTACATGTGATGTGGGGTCATGCAAAGTCCTGCAAACCTTCAAGACTGTTTATAACTGCTGACCGACATGTTTTGATACACCGTGGTTAAGTTTTGTCCTATGACTTGCCGTGACTTCTCCGTACTGTAAACATTTCCTGATTTCTATTAAATAAATTTTGATTTCTATTAAATTAAAATTTTAAGCCACAAAGTCGATAGGCACGAAAACTGAATAGTAAACATTCAAAGTAATAAAATAAATGTGAAGTAGGAAATATAGAATGTTCCCTAATTTCACAATTGCGGGTTTAAAGCTTTGTCATTCTAGACTATTCTTCCCAAGCAATCAATGAAGACTATATTTTTCTATGAATTATTGACATGCCTTAATTACGACACTCCGTCTTGGTTTTGTCTACGGCAGGGATTTTAAAGGGGCTTGCCGAGCTAGATAGGTAGATCATTTGGTTCGTAAATTAAAATTTGAGGGCAATTTTAGCTAGCATCAAATTACACATTTCCTTTTTTTCCGATGTGTTTTTTACAACGTACACAACTTATATCATAACTTTTGGCAAAAATTCAAGCTGAAAGAACTAGAATTCCCTCCTTTATCACATGGTTAGCTCTGCAAACGGGCAAGATGAACAAATTCTCGCTCTTGATTGGCTAATGCGATAGGGCTCCGTTTGCGAACGGTCTCTACTGCCAGCTCTGAATAGCGCTTTCAAATGTATGCGTTTTCGATCGCGCTCGCCAGAGTCGGCTACCTCCTCAAAATGAATTTAGCTGTTTTTTTTCTCCGCTTTGATTGTTGTATTTGAAAACTTCAAACGATTTTGGAGATTTTAGTTTTGAGGACGCACACTCCGCCATTTTTAGTGCATCTTCCACGTCTCCTCCACGAAGACATCCACGCAACGCGTGAGGAACATCCGCGGACGAACTTGGTACCATGTCTAAAAATAACTTTAGAGGGATTACCTTGGGTATAAGGCCTATATAGGGCATTAACTCTCTTACCTTGATCTTCACTTGTAAGAAAAAGGCATTGTTGGAATAAAATGATAATTTATGAGTCTCAGAGAACCTATCACAAGACTCCAGCTACGTTTGTAATTGGAAATTCACTTACACGCGCCTTGAGAGTAGGAAAATTGAACCAAAAATTATTTATGCATCTGAAATGGGAATTTAAAGATGTTTGCCTAAAACTTTCTCGATATCGATATTTCCTCTATTATTTTTCTGTCTTTGAATTGGTGACTGTTCTGGTAATCTGTCGAACTTTACAAGAATTCTTCAAGTGACACCAGTAAATTACTTTCGTTTACCCCATGATGTGCGGAGAAACTTCAATGACCTGAAACTGAACAACAATGCGTTATTCAGTTGCAAAAAGTTGAGTTCGGAAAAAAAATAGAAGAAAGTGCAAATACAAGCCGAATTTTAATTCATGAAAACACTAACTTCACGGGGTTAATTTTCGATTCCTTCGGTATTTTTTTTTTTTTAAAGAAAACTGAGACAAAACTTTATACTTTTACAAGGCAAATAACAATGTAAACAACTTTCAAACCAAAACGATCATGGACACCCCTATCTTCACCACGTCGACGAGAATATCTCTTGAGTAAAATTAAGGTACAAAGTGGACAAAGTGGTTTGATAAGCTAAGTGTTTACATTGTGGCCTTTTAGTGAGTTTGATTTGTTGTAGTAGGTACCATGACTTGATTGAAAAGTTTCAAAAAGTTACGTAAACGATATACTTCGTAATTGACTAAGAGCTTTGAAACTAAAGAGGCACAGGAAAATTAACACGGGAGACGGAGATTTTCAGACAAAACGTTTGTTAGTTAGCGTCTGTTGCCCCAGCCCTTTTCAATAATGGCAAAGTAATCTCTGGGACTCAGCCCAGACATGGTCTTTGTTACCTGTTTCCCTTTCATTGTATTTGACGATATCATGGGAACATTTCGTTTGGCGGCAGGAGACCAGCCACTGACCGTTAACTGAGACGAGCAAAAAGAGTCAAGTGGAGCAATCTGATCTTCGATCAGCTTTGCTTTGTTTACAATGAGTTCGAATCCTGCCAGCATCTCAAATCTCAATGCTGTGCAAAAAGAAGAAGGCATTTTTTTTTTCTGAAAAGTGCTCTTGGACTCTCGAGTGTTTAATTTTCAATATTTGGCACAGTATTCTCTTGAGTCCATCATTTTTACAGTTAGATCAATTTGACTTGTTTTGTTTTGGAATCTTAATGAGGCATCTCAATTTGATCTTCAAAACCGAGTTCTTGTTTACGAATAGTTGATATATAAAAAAAGCTTGAAACAGAAATATCATCCAATTCCACTGTAAACTAATTCAAAACTGACTCTATGCTCTGGTTTCATTGTCCAAGTAAGTACAATTTGTTAAACGATGACAATGAATCGTACTTTATTAAAAATAAGTTTTGGATTCGATACTTACCATCTTACGGTTGCCGTGAGTAACAACTTTAAAAATTAATGTGCGTTGTGAAAATGAACTAACATGGAAAATTACTGAGCAAGGCAACAAAGAGACTGAATCCAAGCTTAAGACGATTAAAACCGCCTGTTGTCCCAGACCAATCTTTACAAAGTATTTGTCGGGGACCGAGCGTCGTTTAGTCACCGGTCAGGCACCTGCGTCTTTTTTAATCAGCTTGGATCATGTAAACATTTCGTCAAGTAGCAATAGAGGGGTGATTGCGATGAGCAAATATGTATATATTATTTATTATTTGGGATTCTTTTTTTTAGCCTCCCAGCCGGCTCACATTTCGGACGTCGACTTAAAAGTATTGTTAGAAATGAACTATCGATGTGAAAACAATGTTTAACCAACCGTCTTCATTTTAGTTCATTACACCGTTAAATGCTTTGCAAGACCATCACCTGTCCCACAAAGTTGTTGTTCGTTATAAATTAAAATCGATCATTCACAACGCCAGCGTGGTATCAAGCGATGTAATTACTTTGCATTCAGAAAACCTCCTCATAGTTTTTTTTTTTGTTGACTTTCTCATTGTGAAAGTGGTTCAATTCCCAATGTTTTGCTTTGCGGCCCAATCTTCAACTCGATTGTTTTCTCTGACAAAGAAAAAGAAGCCAATTGACTGTATGCCTGATGATTTTCTTGAATCACATTGGTTGAAGGCTGCAATACAGGCGTTGTATATCAATCACGGGGGTGGAAAAAATAATCGGGTTTTTCTTCGCTATCGTAGAGAGAAGAAGAAGAAGAAGAAGAAGAAGAAGAAGAAGAAGAATTAAGAAGAAGAAGAAGAAGAATTAAGAAGGAGAAGAAGAAAACAAAATGAAATATCTTCTGCTGTTGGTTTTCTTGTCTGTTATCGCCAGTGGTAAGTTTATTTCAATGTGCTCATGTTAATTTTCGAGGGCGAATTCAACTAGCAAAAGTTTCTTTCACCAAATAGGTGCTGGTGAGAAAGGTGGTCGACTATTTCGCCAGCTATTTGTCCCAGTATTCAACAGTTTCACACATGCATAGTGGCGTTAGGTGTTGCAAAGGATACGAGAAAGCCAAAGCTGTAAATAACCCAGTGCCAAAGTTACTAATTAGACTCGTCAAGTTGCCCTCAACCCTTGATTTGAGGCGTAAAGTTGAAGCATTGTGTTGAAGCTATCAGTTTTCATGTTATTTGCATGCTTTAATTTAGCCACTTTTGACTGTATGCTAGCTTAAAACCTTTTCGTTTGCCGTTCAATTTCATCACACTTTAAAAAACATTATTTTCCACCCTTTCCACGAAACAGCGCTGAATAGTTTTAAAATTAATGATTCTTAAAAAGCTACGTTTGGCAGTTTCCCTTTTGAAACGGGAAGATCTACACCTAGAAAAACAATTACTGTCCTGAATGCTTATACTTTCAGTTCAATTATAATTTTGGCCAAAAAAAGCACATTTTCTTCTCTCACACGGCTGTGTTTTTTTTTTAGTTGAATTGACTCCTCTTTTGCTGCATTTGCACAACTTTTTGTATGGCCGGATCGAGGAAACATTTGAAGGCATTCACGTTTCGGTTGCAACGAAATGGTGGCAGTTTCAGCACTTTAGTTTCTGTAAGCGTCCGCACCAGCTGTCCTCAGTTACAGAGATGGAAAGCATTTGTGGCGGCGCATCATCGACCGACCTATTCTTCCCCTAAGGGTAGCGAGATTATTTTTGTAGCGAGATTACATTTGTAGCGAGATTACAATGGGACAAACGAAGTTTGAATTTTTTCAGTTTTTAGCTGGGAAACAGCCTTTTCTACCTTTTTCCTAAATAGATGGAATACATTTGTAAGGCTTAAAACTTACTTACGTGAACCTGAAATAGTCAAACGAAATACACCGTGTCCGCGCAAGCTAAGGTATGTCTTGGCGTATCCATGGAGCTCCTTAACCACAACACACAAACACTAACGTGCACGACACTTTGCAAAAAATTAACCTCAAAGTTTTAGAAACCAAAATATTTAAAATAAAAACTTTTCTGGTGCTGAGCTCTCAGCTGGGGAGAAAGCTAAAAAAAAAGCCAAATTCCTATTCTATATTGTCAGTAATCCAACTGTTGCAGTTGTGCATCTTAGTCAATTTAAATTATTAAAGATTTTCAACTTTTGTTCTTCTCCGTTTGAAGTTGAAACAACATACTTTGACGCGATTGACCCCCAGTTGGTAGTGAAACATGCATGGTTGCATCTTTGTTTGATTTAGGGCCCAGTTTTCAAAGGATAAATAACGCTATCCACTAAAGGAATCACCATTAAGGAGATACGTGTTGACAAAAAAAAAAAAGAAAAAGAAGAAAAAGAAAACTACGCTTTCCAATGGAATGTACTCCGAATAACTGCAGTCAGATGAAGAAACGAAATTCATTTTTGTACAGCAGGCAACGTCAGTTCTGCAAAAAAGTTCTGATTCTTTCATGGAAAACAAAGCAATTCTTTTCAAGTGACGGCTAGAACATGAAAGTGTTCAGGCTTATTAAGACAACAAACCGCAAAAGAAGAAAGATGATTATGAAGCATAATAAAGAAACATGCGCAGGTGGATTTCAAGGCGCTAACGGGGTGAAGTAATGAATCGATTGCATGCTGTTTAGTGCTGTAAAAAATAGATAATTAATAATAATAAAAAAAAATAAATAAAAAAAAAAAAAAAAAAAAAATAAATAAATAATAATAATAAAAATAGCAAAACGCCCGCTAAAAAGCAAATAAAATCAAATAAAATACANATAATAAAGAAACACGCGCAGGTGAATTTCAAGGCGCTAACGGGGTGATCTAATGAATCGATAGCATGCTGTTTACGCTTCAAAAAAAAGAAAAAAATTAAAATAAAACAAATGAATAAAAAAATAAAAAACACCAATTAAGGTTAACATCACTTATTGTCCGGTGAAATGCACGAAAGATCAATTAAGAACAGCTTCAATAGTGTCAGCGTAAGGAAAAATAGTTTGCACAATGTGGAATCTCGATGTCTTAGCTTCGACGCGTTTTCCCTTCTTTAAACGTCTTAAACTGATATCAGCAGAGAAACAGAAAGCTCTTTAGTGGCAGGGCATTTTTTTAAAACGATGGTCGAGTGGACTAAGGTGCACGTGACTCTTGGCTCATGTCGTATGCTACTTAGGGTAATTCCACTGTCGAGCGGCCAGAATGTTGCACAAATGGGATTTTTAATAAGTTCGTCAAGTAGTTTATAGCAACGGGCTTAATTGTAGGTTCTGAGTGGGGGGATAGAAAACAAAAACTTTCAAGCCAGAGCAACACAAATTGCCCTAGGAATTAACTCATTTCTCTATGTAAAACATTTTCATGGTAGGTTATGGCCTCAAGTGTTGGGCATGCACCGGGTCAGAAGATGACTGCTCAAAAGAGAAACTAGCGGATCATAAAGATGAACGCCTGAAAACATGTGGCGATGATAACGACTCGTGTATGAAGTCGAAGGCTGAAGTTGATGGTAATACAGCAGTTGCCAGCAGCTGTTCAACTAAGGAAGCCTGTAAATTAGCCCAGGAAGTATGTGAAAAGTCTGGTGAATGCGAAGTCGGCTGTTGTGACTCCGACGAATGCAACGCCAGCTCCGCACTCTCCTTCAGTGTGATTTTGATGGCCGCGTGCTCTGCGTTTGGTCTGGCACTACTGAAGTGATCCAAGTCAAAGAAAACTCACTACCATTGTTTGAAAATTTTACGTAGTATGTAATACCGGTGTAATTTGCTAAGGGAACGTTTTTGATTACCCTAACAATGAACAAGCGCTTTGTATAAGCATCATTTTCCTTTGGTAGTAAATAAAGAATTTTGCACTAAGATTTCTGTGGTGTACAAATTATTTTATATCAGCAAAACAGAGGGAATTAAGCGCGCGTTATTTATTGACTAGAGTCCTTGCATGGCAACTCAGCCCTCACATTGCACTTCACATTGGTTTTCATACGTCACAGACGGCGGCTATGTTCTCTGTCACTAATCATGGCCGAGGCTTTTCTTTTTTTTTTTTAAAAAAAATTAAACTGTATAAATTACATCACAATTACAATTACATTTGGCAAAGGCTCTTGCTCGCAGCTGGATGCGGTCCTGGTTTTTGACGGATTGGTACTAACCATTTCATATTAGAAAGTAATACAACCTAGGAGCCCATTTTACTTTACCCAAGTTCGCAATTAGTCAATCAGAAGCGGTGTATACTGTCTTCGTACACCCTTTTTTTCCCCAAAGAATAAAGAATATTGTTTCTCCGGCCCAGGCTGAATATCGTTATTTTTTCTGCCGATTTCAGGCTGAAAACATTCTCCATTTTTTTCTTGTGAATAATCTTAGATTATAGCTTACGAAATTTTCGAAATATTGACTTTGATGGCGTTGCAGTATATAATTTCGTAGCCAGACTGCAAGTGATAAAGCCTGATATGACAAACATAACTTCTTGGAGAAATGGTATTAGCACTGATCAAATGGTATTTTGTTGTTTTTTTGGCTAGTTTTGCCTTTTATAGAGACAGGAAGAATTTTATACGGCTTAGCTAAAGACGTATAACTGCATTGCAGTTGTAAATTTTCAACACACAAAATTGTATTCTTTGCAAAATCTCAGACTCGGGTTTATTCTTAAAATATTCTTAAAGTTTCGAAAATTTCAGCCTCGATATTCTTACAAAATATATCCTTATAGAATCCCTGTTTGGTTTCGCCCTAGTACGTCGCCAAAATACGAAGTCTACTAAGATGGTTTCAAACATCTTAACATTCTCAAGTTACTTCCTATCTAATTTAGGTCTTATTTTCCTGAAGTTTGTTTCTAAGCTTCGAACGCCATGAAAAACATCAATTTCGGTTCGGGTTCACGTATTTTCAAAAGTTACATTTTACGACGCCATTTATCACTGTTTGTGACTAATGTACTCAAAGCTCCGGCAGTAGGTCCGAAATCAAAGTTCAGTCTATACTAGTGTATGATATGGGAGATGCTCACCTTACTTCCTATCCAGTTGATAAGTTTCAACATTCGTGTGTTTTATTTCATAAATGTGGCTTTGTTTCGTAACATCCTGGGTTCGGTTTTGTTCACCGAATTTACGCAACACTACAGCTCGCGGTAAGCTCTCTAAAATACGGCGTTCCATCACCGCCAAATTTCAAACTTTGCCCTTTATCCACGCAGACCATCATTCACTGGCAACATTCAAATATTCAGTTAAAACATTCTAACCTTCACCTACAATATTCATGTCAGGCGTTGAAAATACACTCACAGCATTCAAACGTACCCTCCAAACATTCAATCAATCAATCAATCAATCAATCAATCAATCAATCAATCAATCAATCAATCAATCAATCAATCAATCAATCAAGTGAAACATTCAACGCAGGCATGCAAAATCCACTTACAACATTTGGACGTGCCCTTTAAACAAGTGGTTATTCAATGCCAACTTTCATTTCAGACATTCGACTTTCAATTCGACATTCCATCCAAACATTCGATTATTCAATCGGAACATTCGCGCAATGTATCATTGGTGATGGCCGTTCAGTATGCATGCGTGTGTGTGTGTGTGTGAGGGAGAAAGCTGATCGAGCACAGAACATTCACTCACTGCTTGGTGATGCGATGTTTAGTCACAGTATGCTGATGTAATATACCCACGGAGCATCGTTCGTTCAGAAATACCCGCGCATTCCAGGATCGAATTGGAATTTGGAAATGTTGGTTTTTGAGGAGAGGGAAAAACCGGACACATTAGTGGGAGGCGAGCGCTCTCACCACTGCGCCGTCCCTGTTCCCTGACAGAGAGATTTCTAGAAGCAAAATACCCACCGCAGCTTCTCAATAAGGGCCCCCGGCATTGTATATGGAACTCGTGTCCCCGTGAATACGGCGTTTATTTGATCCCTGTACATATTGTTTATTAGGACCCACAGTTTCAGCGACACAGTATAACATGATAGCAAGAGTTTTTATTCATATCCTTGACAGCCATACTACATCTTGCCATTACATCTAAACGTTATTATATCTCAGTGGTATAAACGCTTGAGGGGTTATTTACAACTCTACTGACCTTGGTAACCCAGGAGTTTAATCGATAGAATGTGATTTGTTTAGTTGCGTCCCTTTGAACGAATAAATTAAAACAGAAATCAATTACAAAGAAGGTAATTTTAGAAAATTTATTTGCTTTTCTAAAAAAGCACAAAAATAACAAACAAAATAGAAAAATGACAAATATTAACCTCACAACATTTCTTTTTTGTAATCATTTCTATTCCTTGTTTTATATTTTAGTTGGTCACGTACAATAACTAATCAAGTTTTCATTCTTACGTTTTTACTTTCAGTTATTGTAAGCGCGTTGCGAATTTTAAATGCAATGCGCTAATAAGACCATTATTATAATATATTATTATTATTATTTTACTATTATTATTATTGCCAGAGAGTTTGTGTTTTCAGGTGTAGCTAAAGGCAAATATAATAACTTCTGCCGTATGGGGTGTCTGGAAGAACTACATTCCTAAAAAAAAAAAAAAACTCAATTTACCCCTTTCATTACTGACCAGTTTTACGTTTTTAATAAAATTTACTGCGTGTGTGGAAATGCAAGCAGTAACGTTCGTTACATTTGCGTTCGGTACCCTTTCTCCCCTACCCTCGCAGGCTGAAATACACGCCCAATAAGGGTGGAAGTTTCCAACTTTCACAAGAGGATCCCTCTTGGTCCAATACTAATGATAGGCGGTTTACAGATAACGTAATGGGAGAGGTGGAGGAGGGGATGGAGGGAAGTTGGTGAAGCAGAAAAAATAAAATTTGTTTTACTTTCTGTCACAACATGGCTTAGTAATGTTCAAAATTCTCGTGGGGTTGAACAACTTTCCATTTATTTGGTGCTCACGACACTCCAAGGGCGGTAGTTTCTGAGGTAGTAAGACACCTTGAAGTTAAAGACCCGAGAGAGCGAGCAGTGTTTAACTGGCAGTAGAGCTAGTGTAACCAGCCCTACCCCAAGCAAGATCACAGTCATATTAATCTTAACACCAACAGATGAACCCCTTTACATTTATGTCAGCCGGTTCTGTCTTTGTCGGAATTGGCGAAATAGCTTTGTCTAGCCTCTATGCAGATGCTGAACCCTACCCGGAATCTGTTCTCACAAACCCGCTTTAATATCAGAGTGCCGTTTATTTTCGCATACCAAGTAAGAGTTGTGCTTATCTGGGATAAATACCGTGACACAACTGAATTAACAACTGGAGATTTCCCCATTGAAACAGGACATCAAAATTGCCTGTCAATAATTTCAACAAAATTGCAAACTATTATTTCAGTTAGGTTTAAAGAGCGTTTCAATTAGATATTTGCTTTCCTCTGTTGACACAACGTTTTATAAAGGCACGGGCAAATCGCTGATTGAATTTGTCGATTCCAAACGTCCTGGTTTAATCGGTGGCAAATCTCTTTTTCTCTCCGAAGACCCGGAAAATTAATCATGACAAAAAATTTTCTTTTCTTCATTTTCTTGGGTAAGTGAATCACGCTTGATTTTATTGTTGTTGATGGGAAAGATTCTTAAACGAAAGCTAGCCTTAACGTAATCGTTCGTGGAGGTTTCAAGACTTTTAAGGTCCGAATGACTGAAGAAACAGAGGCCAAAGTACTCAGATCTAGACTAAACGAATAACAAAACTAAGTGCAAGGAAAGGTAAACTCACGCACGACTAGCTAATTTAACTGTTAAGTAGTAGTCAAATGTAGCAATGCAACAGTCGAATTCGGGATTCCAAAACGCAGTTTAACGGGAAAAAATTCCATTTTCTAGGGTAAGTGAATCAGAGTTGATTTTTCATGACATTTTTTTTTTCTTAGTTAATAATGTAGCGTGAATATTTCACAATGATTCATGGGTTAAAGATGCCAGTAAAAAAAGAGAAATCCAGAGAAATATGGTGTTCTTGTCGTCTTGATTTCCTTTTCGGCAAGGCAAGTCGAAAAACTGAACCTGAAGAAAGAGAAGCGGTTATGAAAAAGCCCTGCATGGGACAAAAAATGCTGTCGAAATATTTCATTATTCGCCAATTTGCCTTGAAAACTACAATGCTGTTGAAGACAGCCCGGTCCACATCAGTCCGTAACAGTGAGCAAGGTGAAACTAAATTCTTTATTCGTTATTTTTACGGTTTTACTTATTACTGCACAGTCAAATTGTAATTTTCTTTAAAATATTGGGCGCTTCCTTCAACCAAAAATCGAAGAACTTTCCTAATGGGGGCAAATAAATGTTGCGGATATTTCCTGGACGAAAATTAAATGGAACGGATATTCCCTGTGCGAAATTTCCGAAAATTTGAGTATACCTCGTGTTGTTTTTCATCTTTTGCGGAAATTTCGGAAAATGATCTTACTGGAAATTTCCGGAAATTCAAATCAGAATTTTTGGTCAAAATGGAAACCACTTTTTTGTATCAGGGCAATCTTAGATCACCAAGTGTATATTGTACACTTGATCTTTGATCTCGAGGTTAATTTTGTGTTCCCGAGAATCTAGATCTCCATGCTTCTTGGGAGGAATTCGAAGGAAACTTCGAGTTTCGAAGGGAAAAAAAATTCAACTGTTTCCCGAAGAGCAGTGATTAAGTTTATTGTTATATAGCTGGGGTTTAGTGTAAAGTAATAAGGCAAGAAGAAGTCAAAGTAACCACTGGATCATGGGTAGTGGGGGAGCGAGCGACAGTTACGTAATTGTTGCCCGGCGGACAACATTTAGATTAAGCTATTACCACTTGACCATAACAACATAAATTAATTATTATTTGCAGCATTGATATGCAAAGGCTCCACTCGAGTTCTCAATGAGGGTATACCGGCGGATGAAGGCTCCAGTCTTGCACACGATGAAGGCCCAAGTCTTGCAGATGATGAAGGCTCCAGTCCTGCACATGATGAAGGCTCCAGTCTTGCAGATGAAGGCTCCAGTATATCGGCGGATGAAGGCTCCAGTCTTGCACATGATGAAGTCTCATCTCTTGAGGACGANTTTTTTTTTTTTAAAAAAAATTAAACTGTATAAATTACATCACAATTACAATTACATTTGGCAAAGGCTCTTGCTCGCAGCTGGATGCGGTCCTGGTTTTTGACGGATTGGTACTAACCATTTCATATTAGAAAGTAATACAACCTAGGAGCCCATTTTACTTTACCCAAGTTCGCAATTAGTCAATCAGAAGCGGTGTATACTGTCTTCGTACACC